GTCTGAATGTTGTCTCGCACGCGAAACCACTTGTTTCTTGGTAACAAGTTTGGGGCGAAATACTTCATCCAACTCCTCCAGAAATCAGCGACTCTGTTTTGTGTGCTTCTGAGTAATTGTCGCGGATTGGTTCTTTCCTCTGGTTCTGGCTGTGGCGGTGGATTGTGATGGCCTAGAAGAAGGTCGTTGGGAGTGATCGGTGGAACTTCCCAGATATCATCGGAAATGGGGTACAGCGGTCGTCCGTTGACTAGGAAGGTAACTTCTGACAAGAATGTTCTCCATTGTTCCTCAGAATAGGCTTGGTTCTTGCAAGTGGCGTTAAGTGCTTGTCTGACTGACTTAATTAGGGTTTCAACAACTCCGTTTTGGTGACTCGCATGTGGTGGGTTCCACTCCCATCTGAACTCGCAGCCAAATTTATCGGAGAGGACACTCTTTATCTTAGGAAAATCCCAGTTCTGTGTGGTTTCCCTTAGGTAACCTTGGGCACCCACAAGATGTGTTCCATGGTCTGACCAGCATACACTGGGGTATCCCCGAAGGCAGGCAAATCGTCGAAAGGCCATCAAGAATGCATCTGAGGTTTTATCAGTGACCAGTTCTAGATGGATCGCACGTGATGTCGTACAGGTGAAGAAGATCACTTGGTCCTCTTTTAGAGTCTTGCGGCCGAGCTTAATCTGTATTGGTCCGAACATGTCCATGGCAGTGGTTGAAAATGCCGGGAAGCCAGCTGCTACTCTTAGGTTTGGAATCTGTCTCAGGAGCTGGTTGAGGGGCCTGTTCCGTAGTTTTCTGCATGTGACACACTTTGAGGTCACCGTCTTAGCCATTCTGCGGAGTCCAATGATCCAAAATCTTTTTCTGGCCTCGTGCATTAAACTCTTATAGCCACAGTGCCCACGTCGTTCGTGGAGAGCACGCAGAAGCAAGATTACAAACGGGTGGTCTTGTGGTAAGATAATAGGCTTTCTCAATTCTTCAGGGAGAGATCTGATAACTTCAAGGCGACCATGCGCACGAAGGAGGCCGTCTTCACCCTTCTTTGCCACCAGTTTCTTATCCAATCTCCACTTCAGAAATTGACTCCACTTCAGAAGACGGGCCTCGGCTGCCTTCAGTTCCGGAACTGAAATGGGTCCTGACTTCGGGCTCATTTTTCGTGCGTTACGAATAAAACGACGGACGTAGGCAAGAGTTCTCCGTATTTTGGAGTACGTAGAACAACTTTTCAGCAAATGTGAAAGGATAGGATTTCCTTCAGATTCAGGCTGATTTAGTTCAGGGCATACTTCTGCGAAAGCATTGTAATGTTTCCTGGCTTTCTTCTCTTTTCGAAATGCTTTCTTCTCTTTTATTGCTTCGAGGTCGTCCACGTGAGCGTTAACTTGGGTGTGGTCTTGAAAGGTGGGCCATTTTTCTTCTGGCAACTTTAGGAAGGATGGTCCCTCCGACCACTTCACGAGATGATTAAGATGGATTCCTCTCGTTAAAGCATCTGCAGGGTTATGGTTAGACTTGATGTAGCGAATTTGGTCTGCCCCAATTTACTCTTGGATTTCTGCCACTCTGGTAGATACAAAATACAAAGGGTCTGAATTCCTGTGGTGGCGTTCTGACCCAAGTCAATTTGGTTGTTGAATCGACCCAGAAGAATCTTTCCCAGTCTTGGGCTTTTGTCAA